TTTTTATTTTTTTTTTTTTTTTTTTTTTTTTTTTGGCGGGGAGGGGGGGACGCATCTTTATGATGACGACCACAATATATGCCGAGGATATGACAGGAGGCCCGTAGAAACTTATGGTCCATAATGTGATGGAATGGCCCGTCGCAAACAGACATGACTTCTCGGTACGAACTTGGTCACGCTAGACAGGTAAGTATCATCCACACTGCTTGTAGCTTCAATTCCTAGTTCTTCTGGCAATGAGCAGGTTACTTATTCTGCTTCGCAACCATACCGGTTGATAGTCCTTTGACTCTGTTGAATGGATCATGACACTTGACGCCTTTACCACCGAGTCCAGAGAATATGCCACACAACTACCCTGAACCTGATACTGTCAGATGCCGTATTACAATACCATTACATGTCCCGTCATTGGCGGCCAGCAGGAACCCGCTAACTAGTTAGTTGCCGCAACCCTTGTATTCAGCTATGCACACAGGTCAGATGCCCAGACGTCGGTAGTCAGGTTGACGGACACCCACTTGAGTATTCATTAGATGGTGATCCTAGACTTGGTAGATTACGAGATGGCCTATGAAAAGACGACATCCCCAAAGTTTGAAAGAAAAACAAATCTGTCAACGAGGCCACGATGTTGACCAAGTACGGATATGTGGTTGGCAGGGCTATCCTATCTCTGAGGATCTTCCCACGATGGCAGCACCAGGAGCAGCAAGACCCCGTGGCCGACTCCACATTGGAAAGTTGCTCTGTACGAGATTGCGCTCACAATTGCTATGTTTGGGCTAGTAATGATAGGGGCGTAGGGGATAGAGACGAGGTCATTGGAGATTAAAGGGACTATTGCTGGATAACCTAGATATTGCCGGAACTCATCTCTAGCCAGCGAGCGCTACTAACATCCAAGTGTCTTGTTATGAGACTGACTACCAGCTAAGTCCCATTGGTACACAAGCATTTTCTAGTTTTCCATTCACTGTCCTTCTTTATCTTCCCCAGAAGGGTTCATGCTATGTATAATGCTGGTCGGACGGTCTGGCCCAAAGACCAGAAGACCAGGCCGTGACCACTTCGATGACTGGATTATTACTCTTGTTCGTCCATAGCCTGATTGCAAAGGCTATCAGCAATGTCATTTTCCTCTCTCGGGATCCATATATAGTCCACGTCTCCCTCCTCCTTCAATTCATCGTCAAGAAGAGAAGCCTCCTGAATAAGATCCTTGTTCGCAACCTCGTTTCCCGCAGCATTCCTCTATCCATTTCGGGACCACTTGTAAATCCAGGTTGTCATACAGTTAATCGCATACCTGGAATCCGAATAGATCTTGACATCAAGATATGGATTTGACTCTAGCTCTCTATACTTTTCCAGGGCCTTCTCCAGTGCCATGATAATAGCAGTGATTTCGGCCCGCTGGTTTGTGGGTGTAGGAAACATGGGCAAGTGTCTTGTCCAACACTGGTGTTTCCCACTTCTTTTCTTGAAAGCGACGGCAGCTGCACCTATTGCTCCCCATTGTCCGTTGCCTCTACAGCCACCGTCGACATAGATTTCCATGATGTAAACCATGTTTAGCGAGTCGGGTAGCGTCGAGGGTATTCAATGGTTCGGTTATCCGGTATGCAACGCACATACATATGTGTGTGGATACGTGACTCTGTGTACTAACCCTGTTAGTATCATGCCCATTATATGTGTGTTTGATGAGAATTACCTGGGAAGGCTTAGTCTATTTGTGCGGCACTGAATATGCTGGATTAGAACATATGTGATCGAATGTTCCTTCTTGTCTGTCCTCTTGTTTCGCGCGCCGCGTGACACGCGCCCCTGTATGCACTTAACCGGTACAGTGCGAAGTTATGCAAATCCTGTTATGCGACACAAGTTACCGAGTTGGACATCGACCACATGTTACAAAGGTGATATGATCATTCCAAGTTTATTGTAACAGAGAAGAAAAGGAAGGGCAGAAAAACATTTAAGGTTTAAATTAGACAGCACATTAGTTACAAGACTCACTACCACTTTCAAGGCTGGCGGGCTGAGTCACAGTGCAGAACAGTCTGATCAAATCCCTTGCTCAGTTTGCGATACTGTCGCAACTGCTCAATGCCATATGGTCCTTTTTTTACTGTGCGCATGAAAATCTTTACCAGGCCA